GATTAAAGTGCAAGCTGCGGCAGTAAACTGCCTCGAAGGGGTCAAGTCACACTTCTAAGAGAATGATTGGCGAGCAACTTCTCCATTGTGTACTATGTGCACTCCATGTTTTAAAGGGGTACTCCGGCATTTTCTTCATTGTCCCCGATTTGCCTAAGAACTTGCTAAGCACATCAACAAACATCGCTGAAATAGTAACCGAAATATCTGGCCGAAATAGCTTTTTTTCGCAAAGTTACAGAATTTACAATTTTGGTCACCATTCTGTTTTTCAAAGTGGAAAGCTCTACCGGCAACATTGAAATTGAGACGTCATGGGAAGGCAAAGGTTCACTCTTAGGGCTGTAGACTTTGTTCACAACTGATCACAAACAGTTTCATTGTGTCAAAAGAATGCTTTGGAAGGTCGCCCCAAATCCCATCCAGCAGCACGAAACAAATGCTCGGCATAGTTCATTTCTACACAGCCGCTCGAACCGTGAGCCTGTCATCCCGCGACGCAAGGACGTAACTAGAAGGGGTTCATGGAGCCCGGCCCCGCCCGGCCCGCCGCTGCCGCCCCCCGCCCCCAAAACAAAATCCTGGCTATGTTCCTGCGTGACGTCACGGCAATGAAAAGCACAAGTATATTTCAATCTTGGATTGGCATTATACACGACAGTGGTAGGAACATTACTTGTGTCGAGCTAGAGAAGCCATATTGGGGGCTACCCCAGCTACGTCCACACTGGCTTTCATGGCAGTTATGTGCGATGCAGACAGCTTTCACTATTTCAACCGAGTGCCTAGGCAAACAGAAGCAGCCACATAAGACAATCAGGAAAAGACGCCGAGTTGTACAGGCTAAGGAGGAAGGTCATAGTGCAGCGAGCTATCTAGTCCAGGCTATTCCTCTGAGAAATGCAGTCGGTGGAAATGTAGGTGAGTTATTCCCGCCATCAATTTAGGTAACTAATGCAAGCATTACACTATTTTGCATATTTCTCTACTGCAATGCTAGTCATCCGCAGCAGAAACAACGCCCCAAACTAAAAAGAATTCTCGTTACATTGTTAACACAGACATAAAGTCCGTAAGCGAGCTGGAGTTCATCAAAGCACAACCGAGAATCTCTCGGAAGTACTTGGTTCCTTTTCAGTAGTTATTGAATGAAAACACAGTGCAGTGGTGATTACCATCAGCACAGCCTTGCCACTGGCACTGCTGTCCCTTGGGTGGCACATGCACGACATGGCCTACAAGCCACATATATCCCTAAAAGAAAGCTGCATAGGATGCACTTACCGTGGCTAGCGTCGCCACCCAGCAAGCTTGCACAAACCCTCTGCATGGCACGCAGTGCTGTTCAGAACAGAGCGCCACTGGCTAGCCAGTTAATGCGAAGGCTTGTAGTGTCTTGCTGCTGCCTTGGCAAAGCTGCAAGTCACCTCTTTCACGCCTTGTGGTGCCCATCAGCTTCAAAAGAAACGGTGTTGAGTCGCGACCAGTAATATGCAAAACAAAAACGAGAACGGCTCGGTTATTAATAAGTTGTGTGCAGCAGAGGCACGGGTGCAAGGGCGTAGCTTCGCAGAATGTTCTTTTTGCACGGCTGCTCGTGCAAAAAGGGCGCTTTTGTGCTCGGGCTTGTGCCTTTTCTGCACACAACCTATGTTACAGAGTGTACAGCACGCCTTCGAGAGCACTCGCGTGTGGCGAGAAATCCATAATATACAAGGTACGATCGCAGGAAACCTCGCAGGGGTGCAGGAAGCTGCAAGTGCACGGTGCACCAGAATGTGAAACTAGAGGTGGTGATAGAATTTCACAGTTTGAGAATATGACGTTACTTGGGTCAAAATATAGAAACGATAAACGTAACTGCCTTACCGGCTGATGATAAGGGCCACCGGAGCACGACCAACTATTTTTTGTGATCGGGGCATTCGATTGGACGCGGGTTGGTAAAGATTTGAAAAACACGAAAGAATAAAACATGTAGGGACGAAGACAGACAGCGCAGTTCTTTGTTGACATGAAATGTAAGATCAAGCACATTATTTTGTCGGATCAAATGGTTTTGTTGAATTAGGTTTAGCTCGCAAGTTAGCCGTTCTTCGGCGGGCTTTCAGCTTTCTGCGATGGTTGTTTTAATTGTGAACGCAGGCTCAAACAATGTAGGCAGCGGCGCCAAATAGATCTGAAACGAAGAAACAGCTCGGACGCGTGGAACGAACACACATAGAGATCACATCACAGGAAAACTCAAACCACTCACCTCTCGTTCGACGACGGTTCGTCAGGCACGATGTTTCCGATGTTTCTCCGGGCGTTGAGGGGACCGCGTCTGTTTCCGTGCTCCTATTGGTCGTGACGTCACCAAATTTCATCCAATAAAGTGCGCGCCGAAGTTTTCTCTAGTCGCCGGTGACTTGTGTACGCATGCGCGACAGGCTGGCCAGTTGGATGGATGGATGGATGGTAATGGCTATACCCTTTGTATCGGGCGGCAGCTTGCGCCACCTAGCCTAACATTTCGTCATCCCTTCTACTATTTTTTTTGTATGTATTTTGTTATAACAGTTCCCCCTCTCCTTTAAATTGAATTTATTGCCTATTTTATATGTTTTTTTTTTATCCTTCCCTAGATCTCTTCCACCAATCTTCCAATCTCCTCTTAGTAATCGCAATTCTTTCCCTATCAATTCGTCCATTCATGTCCGGAAAACCCAGCGCCCCCTCCAAATCCGTAGTCATCCCCCCCAAGAGGGTGGGACGAAGCCCCGTGCACCTTAAAATTAGATGTTCTATAGTTTCGCTTTCGCTGTTGCATACGTCACACAGAGTGTCTACTTCCTGAAATTTAGCCCTATACGTTTTCGTTCGCAGCACCCCCGTTCTAGCCTCAAAAAGCAAAGAGCTCCCCACAGAATTATCATACAGCTGTTCCTTCTTTATTTCTTGTTTTTGTGCCCTGTATATTGCTAAAGCTGATTTCCCCTGCATTCTCTCTTCCCACAATTTCCTCTCTGTTTCCTTTACTCCCTTTTCCACTGTTATGCTCTGATCGGCTCCATCTTTGTTGGCTTTGGCTTTGGATTAGATGGTGATGACCAAGGGGAGAATTAAGGGCAGCGCAGATTGGTTATTTCAGTTAATGCAGTACAAGAAGATTAAGTTATTAACTTCTTCAGTGATTAGAATTGGTTTCTTTTTTTTTTCAACTGTTCATAAAATAAAATAATCCTTTGCATAAAAAAAAAATTCTCCAAACCTAGACATGCTTGTATCAAGGTCTGGCCACAGTGTCCACAAAGTCGAACCGGTCGAATCTGGGAAAAAGTTTGTTTGTGCGGTAAAAACAAATCCATAATTTTTTTTTTATTTTTGCAACACCCTGTATATTGTTGGTGGCCGCAACCTCGGCAGTAGCGAAACGTGGCCGTCCACGCCAATATACCACAGACGTAACGTTGCCACAGACGAACTAAGGGAGCGGAAGAACTACATTCATGCTTTTGCATTCACAACTCGTAAAAAGTGCTTAGCTGTCCTCGGATTTTTTTTTCCTTTATTATTATTATTATTTTGTAAGAATCCACAACGTTTACTGTGCTGGCTCGCACTTTTCAGGCCCAAAGTCCCTTTGCAAGCAGATGGCATTGGAGGATACTACAACAAAATTTTGACGTTTATTTTTTGGTTTATTGTATTGTATTGCACGTTTATTGCACAGTGCTGCCCGGTGTGCAGGTATTCAGGGAAAGACATGAGCCCATACACGTTATTGTGCCCCTAAAAACTGACTGGGCGGCGTACGTCAGACGCACCAATCTCTTGTTGAAAAAGACACGAAAAAGAAATTTTAAAGCGAATTAAACGATTAGCAAAGAGCGCTGTATGTTGCTAATGCCCCATTTGTAATGCCCGTCTCAGAATCTTGACAGGTAGCGATGATAACTGTCTGGCCTCCGGCCACGAGAGAAAAGCTAGAGGAACTCCCTGTCCCTGAGACTCTCTTATGTGTCCCAAAAGTCGCTATTATCTCTCTACAAGATTAGAAAAGATTAACCCATCACTTAAAATTCATACAAAAGCAGCTTTGGGGTAATGGAGGCCCGATCGTTGGGGCCTATCCAACGCCATGTGAATGCCGTGTGATCTTGGAGAGGGGGTACCGCAACGCGCGGAATGCATATCACTGGCTACGTCCACAGAGCAGGATTGGCTAGGATAGCTCGCAGCGTCCACTGCGTCCGAACAAAAGGCCCCGAGACAAACTACGTCTTGATTGCGGCGGATGTGAAGTGCTCTCGAAATGTTTGCTGCAGTGGGCCGTTTATTACGAAAAATACAGCAGTCTGAAAATACAGACGTGCAACTGCCATTTACAGACATTGTGGATCATATTCAGCCTATTTGTAATTACGACGGGTATATTTAAAATTTCCAGACTTCAGTCAATCATTTGTGGAAGTTATCTCCGACACTTCCAAAGTAAAAAGAAAACAGATTTCGCCTGCGTGTCCCAATCGTTGTGTAAAAAAGAAGATATTGGCATCTCTGGCACCCCTCAACTCGCTCAGTCTTCAGGGTAACACCTGGTCCACCTCCTAGCGACACAAATCGGATGCAATGTAGCTTCCAGTGTGCTCTCGGAGCACGCTTCCCCTACTTCTCTGCAGACATTAGCAGGCGTTATGCTGCAGCTTAGACCGGAGCGAGCTCATGCAACCTTTCGCCCTAGTTCCTTCGGCTGCCGCTCGCAGTTACGAGGGGGAAAAAGCTCTACTTTTGCTTTGCAATTATGCAGCGGAATCGAGAGTTTTCTTTAATAAAGGATATGCTTTCTGTATCCTTCGGGACACAATAAACAATGTAAAAATGACGAGATGCAAATTCTTTTAATCTTAAAATTGTTGCACCCTCCCTTTAATGTCTGCCAATACTCACAGTAGTGCTGGTTCTTCCGAGCCGAGGGTACTCGAATGGTGTAATTGTCTTACAAAGACCACAACACATACATATGTACATTTTATTCAATATCTTTTCAAATTGTCATATGCAAACAGCATGTGTAAGCACACAAGGTATGCCAATACCCATTCCTTAAAAAAGAAAAGAAATCCCAATGTTCCCTGCTAACATTGATCCCGTGAAAACATAAAATGGTAATGTCCCTCCTCTAATTCCTCCTGGACAACTCCAACAAAAGCTGGTGCCAAGGGGCACGCAACTGTGTAAACATGTTAGAAGCCGGGGTCTGCCATGCAATAGAGAAGGGCCACAACACCCCTTCCAGTAAGAAATTTATGGGCAGTTTCATTAGACAACCTCCGGCATGTGCAATTGGGCAGATTGGACCAAGGGTTTCCTGCGGTACCCCATAGATTCAAATCTAATGTCCGTCGACAAAAAAAAAAGATTGGTATGTCGTTTATGGAGGGAGGCCTGGGGGGAGCAGTCGTTGCCCTCTGTAAAATGCGGTCGCAAATGTCCAGTCTCGAAGACTGGTTCGTGCACTATCGAGGCTCAAAAAGGCAGTGGGGGAGGACGTGTGACGGGAAAGTATGTGCAACAAAAGATGGTCGAGCAGCGCCTGTCCTGATTGTCCATCTTCCGAGGACGGGTGTAAATAAGAACGGCAGGAGGACGCTGCCCCTTCTTTGAGTCCCACGGTCGTCGACCAGTTCAATCCTGCACCACGGCATCAAACGTGCCTCGATCCCTCGAGCTGTGTAAGTTGAAGGGTATGACGATTCCTGCAACGCCTTTCGCATCCCAACGGACGGCAAGCCCTTGGCTTGCTCTCTAAGCTGCCGCCTCGTGATGTACACAACGCCCCACCCAACAATTGCATGTCTGAAATCGAGATTTTGTAACCACAGATTTGCGCGCTCTTGATTTGGGAAGACACTTTTGTCCCTTTGAGCAAACTAGATGCGAAATAAAAAATTAAAATATAAATCCAAGTAAAACCGGAGTGGTCAATCCATGTTGATTCGTCGTCAATGTTTTCATCACACCTAGTCGACGGCTATAGATGGCGTTAATCCAAGGCAGGCGCGAGCCAACCAGCTGACTTATCGCTCATTTCAATTGCAACAAAAAAACTTCACTGACGAGATGCAACCGGACCCATTGTCACAAACACCTTGAGCAACGCTTGCAGAGGCCAGCAGCTTAGGTCTCGCCGCGCCAAACACTGCCATTCTTTCGGAACCTTTGCCCACCCGCTAATGACGAGAAGTTCCACTCAGTTTCCCGTACAATCCAGTACAGCAAGCACAGCAAAGAGCTCTACAAACCGAAAGTGCTATCCAACGGTGTCGTTGACCTACCGACGAGAGCGATGCGACCTCGTGGCAGTTGCGGCGATGCCGACCTCGAACGGAACGTTCTAATGCACAAACGACATCTATAAATACTTTTTTCCGTTGCACGTCGACGTACCTGCGTGCGTCCATTGCAGGAACGCCGTCAGTTCCTGTCCCTTGATCTTCGTCGCAACTCGTATAATGAACGCAAGAGGTCAACGCGAAAAACCAAGACTGTGCGAGCACGGAACGGGACATATACGAAGCTAGAACCACGAGAAAGCAGGGGAGAGGGAGAGTGAAAACAATGAAGCGGAGAAAGAAGGTTGAGATGGAATGGGCTGACACGGTCAACGGAACTCCTCCGCGGATCCCTCGCGCGAAGAGTCCCTGTCTTCGTCGTGATCTTCGTGGATGATGCCGCCGCCGACCTGATAGGCGACGGGCGCCTTGGCGACGAAGGTGGTCCACTCGTTGGTGCGGGCGTCCAGGAACTCGACTGTGTTGAGGAAGGCCTTCCCGTTGAAGCCGCCCACAGCGAAGAGGCGGCCCCCGACCACAGCCACGCCCACGTTGGCCCGGCAGCTCGTCAGGGACGGGCCAGGGCTCCACGTGTTCGTCTGGGCGTCGTACACCTCCACGCTGCAGAGCGAGCGCACACCATCGTGCCCGCCCACGGCGTACAGCTTGCCTGTGCGGGGTACATACATAGCACATTTCAGTGGCCCATCTCAACCCATCTCTACATAGTTACTATACTTTGTTCACCCTTAAAAAAACACATGCAAAGGAAAAAAAAAAAATTTGATAGAAAAAGGATGTAAAAAAATTAATTTAGAACAAAAAAAATCTTTTATTTTTTCTTAGAGTTATATTTACGGCGAGAAAGATATCGGTAGTTTGCTCCTGCGGAAGTTCGCAGAAAAGTGGCAACTAGCACTCACGTGACTGGCCCATAGTAAGATGGTGCTTGCGCTCTTTCGAGAGCTTCCCATGGGCTTTAAAACTTACTTATTTATATTTTTTTGAAGTGCTACAAAAAGAATGAGGGTTAATAAGTAACTTCTAGAGCCCATAGGAAGCTCCCGAAAGAGCGAAAGCAACATGTGATTAGCGGCCAGTCGCTTTTACGCAAGCTCTCGCGGGCGTCAATTACAAATTCGTTTCGCACCGTAAATATAGCTCTCACATTTTTTTTTTTTTTTTTTCATGGGGATTTTATTTTGTGGCATCCCCTTGCCATCCAGACTGTCTAAAAAAAAAAAAAAAAATTATTTCCTTTGCAGATGGCTTTTAAGTTGACAATTTTGTTTCCTTTGCATGTGCTTTTTTAAGTTGACAATGTGGTGGGAAACTACATGCTCGCTGTACCAATCGACCGCCTCTCTTCGTCATGGGAACCCGCTCTCTGTGCGTGGGTATGGGCAATAGCGTCGTCACATGGTGAATGACTAAGCTCATCGAGAACGTGGCTCGCAACACACTGTCACCTAAGGCAGGGCCTTGAAATTCGTAAGCTGCCTCGAACGGCAGCCGAGGAACTGCTCAGTCTCAACATTGATTCAATAGAGCGGCGAAGCTTACGGATTTTCTAAACAATGATACACATCCTAAAGAGTGTCTGGCTCATACTTATGTATCAATAAGTAGCTCAGGCCGAGACTGGAAAAAAAAAAAAAAAATGCTTCGCTTAGGGAAGGAATGGTTGATTGAGAAAATTTGGGAGCTTTAGGAATTCGTGGTGGTACTCGAGGGAACCCCTAGGTTCGTAGGAAGCCAGTTTGCGAACTCGCAAGCTAAGCGGTAAAGGAGGTAGAGGGTAACAAAAATAAATAGACAAAATAAAAATAAAGGTTCCTCTTTCTGTTCCCAAGCATGCTTTGCACTTAAAAAGTCAATTAGAAATAAAGAAATAGGGTATTTCTACCATTTTTTTTTATACAAATAAAGATGAAAGAATTCCCAGCGACTCCCCAGTTTCAGAACGGGCCCCGTCTGAGCTTTTATTCCACTTTAACATTAACTTATTTTTATGACCGCCTCCTTCCGTCCTGCTCTTGTGATCGTCTTGAGTCATAAATGTTTCGTTTTGATCTTCTACTATTCTTGCTTAAATATTAAGGAATTTTTGCAGAAAGCTGCTCTGAAGTAGTCCCTATGCAGTTATGGTAGAATGCCTATAGCTGCTCTAGCATATGGCACTGGGAGTTTATGAGATATTGACAATAAAAGTGGAATGCAATAGCGTTAACGAGGCCCGTTCGCATGGCCTTCTCGTTCGCTTCTCATGCTCTTATTGTTTTTTTATTCTTGGTGGGGTGCGGGGTGTCAAAATGCAATGCGGTTACAATTGCACAATGGGTTTTTTAACGAGTCACACTTTCAAATGCCTCCATGTCTACTAGAATTATTCTATTAAAACGCAGTTTGTAAACCAGAACACAGCCTGTTCCTATGCAGTGGAGTGGGGGAGATAGAAAGTGTTAGTGCAGCGCTTGCATTCCACCCCACTCCCCATGGTGTAATGCCACTGGTCACAAAAGCTACAATGCCGAATCAACAGCTGTGCTTCATTGCTGATAGTCTATACCCATAGCCACGGTACGTGCAACCAATTAACACTAGCAAGCAAGGTTATTGCAGGGTTCTTGTACAAAGCTATTGCTTTGAGACGGGAACAAGCCGTTTTTGGCACGCACCATTATACTCAACAAGTCCACAGCCCCTCCTGGCATTCTGCAGGGGTGCCACTTGGACCCAGGTGTTGGTGCTAGGGTTGTACTTCTCTACCGAGGCCACACACGTCCACGAGTCGCAGCCTCCCACCGCATACACCTCTCGGTTCAGGCAGGCCACTCCGGCTTGGTAACGCCCTGCACGCAACGGCAAGAGATCCAGGCCCACTCGAATGAGAAGGAATATTTCGAAGCTTCCATACTCTGGAGAGACCTCTAGCTCTAACATAAATGCTGCAATGCAACAAAGCTATATGTGTACAAGAAATCTACACACATTGTAAAATCTTGAATTATCATCTACCCCTGCAAAATCGCCTATCTTGTGTTTCAGGTCGGGTTCAGCAACCATTTGGATTGCCGAACCGAACCAGACAAATAATGGGCTACCGAAATTGACAGGCTGCCGAAATCAACAGGTTGCCAAACTTGACGAGTTGCCGAACCCAACAACCCAATTGGCTGCCAAACCCGACAATCCATTAAGCTGCCAAACCCGATAACCCAAAGGGCTGTCAAACCCGAAAATCTAACGAGCTGTCGATCCGACAACCCAATGGGCTGCCAAACACAATAGAGTGCTAAAACTGACAATCCAATGAACTACTGAACCAGACAGGCTGCCAAACCTGAAAAGATGCAGAACTTGACAAGTTACCAAACCTGACAATCTAAGGCACTACTGTAACTAACAGGTTGCCAAACCGACAACCCGACGAGCTGCCGAACTCGACGAGCTGGTGAAATTGACCGGCTGCCGAAATCGACCGGCTGCCGAAATCGACCGGCTGCCGAAATCGACCGGCTGCCGCCGAAATCAACCAGCTGCCGAAATTGACCAGCTGCCGAAATTGACCAGCTGCGGGCTACCAAACCGGTCGGGCTGCAAAAACTCGACGGGCCGCCAAACCAGACCGGCTGCCGAACCCAACAAGATGCCGAACTTGACATAACCTAACAGGGTTTCCGAACAAGACAGCCCAATGGTATGCTGAAACTGCAATATCCGACCTTCCTCACGTAGGCAAGTTTGACACCTCAGTTGAAATTTGAACTAGCCAGCAGCAGATTTCTGAAAGGAGGCTGAGGTTAGAGTTCCTCACCGAGCTGCATGGGGGCAACACCGCACCAGGTCCTGGTGAGGGGGTCGAAGACGTCGCAGCAGGTGAGCCCCCGCTGGCCATTCCAGCCACCCACCACAAACACCTTGCCGTCCAGGTTGCAGACCCCTGCACAGCCAAGAGTGCCCCCGGGGGCAGCCCTCAGAGACCCCTGCCTTGCCCCTCTCTCCGTCCCCCTTCCGGACTCACTCACACTCACACCGAGGGGGCTGGGGGGAGGGATCAACAGAGCTCATTCTTATAACCACATCGGACTGCTTATCAAACTCTGCCAAAGTAAGGTGGAAAACTCGGGCGAATGGGGGTGCGCAGGGTGCGGCAGAGTGTGCTGGAAGCCAGCCAAAGCAGGTTGTGCACGACTGTAGTTACAGGGCGGCACGGCAAAACCTTGTTAGAACGTTCACGCTTGTTGGTGATCTGCTCGCTTAGTGTTTTGACTACGGCCATTCAGTTATGTTCAAGACATGCCGCAGCTTCTTCGACATTCATACGCAAGCCCAAATAGCTCTCCGCCATGCCTTTAAAGTTAAACATTCACTTTGCAGATTTTTTTTCGAGATGGATTTTTTGGTTTAGCTGTTGTCTGTTGTTCTTAGCAGACATGTTAATATATAAGGCTAAGCATACAAGTAGCCTTTCCAGAAGAGCACAAAAAAGCTACTTGTAAAAAGTAGAAGGCCTCCTTCCCAGACACCCGACTACCGTTTTGGGAATATATATAAAAAAAAAGGTATTTGGGAATATATATAAAAAAAAAAAAGGTAAAGTGCAGGATTCCCAAGTGTAAAATTTTGGAGCTTTACCCAATTTTAAGGACCATTTTCCCCAGTTTAGGGCTTTGGGATCTTTCTCAATATTTAAAGCAAGGTTTTGTCGTAGCTTACCCCTCTCAAAACACATGTGGGGGACATGCCCTCTTCTGGGGAGTGGCATATGAGCACACAAAAAAAAAAAGGCAAATTAAAAGAAAGGGTTGCAGTGCGGAAATTAAGCCAATCAATAAACTGAGTGCATTATGGTTCAATATTTTAACTTTTTCACATAACCAAGTCGGGCAACACTGATGCTAACAAGAAACGAGCATGGTATATCCCTCTGTGTGGTTTTAGAACATTGTAAATTTGGGCATGCTAGACAAAGTACTGCAAATAAGGAACAGCATAAAGCAGGATGTAATATAAAAAAAACACCTGCCAAACAATAATGCTAAAAAAAAAGAAAAGTATTTTTGCTTTAAACAAGGAAGTCGGGTCATTCGGCCATCTCGAGAAGTGATTGTGGTCATAGCAGAACCCACACTTGCAACTAAGCAGCATGCAGGCACGTAGGCTACCCATCCACGCATTTCACTCTCCTTATCTAAATCATTACAGCAAGTGGCAGAAAGGGCAGGGCGTGGGCGCAGAGAAACAATTGCCATTCTTTCACAACCCACACAACACAGCCATTCCACATAAACTAAAAATAAAAAAATATATTGCGGGAAAGGGAAGAAGAAGAAAGGCTTTGCGGATTATATACGAGAGACTTAAGCTTCAAGTTCCCCTGAAAGGAAAAAAAAAAAAAAAAACGAACCTTGAATCTACGGGGAAGAAGAAAAGGGGGAAAGCAAGGACTAGACTTGGACAAGAACGAAAAAACAAAGTTAAATAAGATAGAAACAAAAAGGGCGGAGGGAAAGAAAGGGGCCGGTGACGCCGAAGTCTTGCAGTAGAGCCGGCCCACCCCAGCACCCAAAGAGTGGGGGGGGGCGAGCAGACGCAGGTTGGCGGAACGTTGTGGCAGACTGCAACTGCAATCCAACGAGCTAGGCAACATAAACGGCAGGCCTGCAGCGGCGGTCCTCCTAAAGCTCCTCGCCCGGGGCACTCTCTCTCGCCTTGCAATCCCCACGCAGCTGCTCCTGGGCCTTCTCACCTGCCCTCCTATCCCGTCACTGTATTTGTGCGCAAGAGTTCGTGGGGGGGGGAGGAGATTTCGCATTGCACGGCACAATGGAACCATCTCTTGCTGTGGAAGACGAGGCGGGCAGGGCAGCTAGAAGGGCGGAGGAGGAGCAGACGCCGAACGCTCGCCGATTCAACCTGAAAGCACAGCAAAAACGGAAACGGAGCATTACATGCTTTTACTGCACTGTTGCCACCTGCTGGCCGGGAAGGGTGGGAGGGGAGTTGCCCAAACAGAGACGGTTCTCTCGCTTTCTCTCCTCTGCCCCTCCAAATCAATCAAGCACACCCACGCACTCTGGACGAATTCACACGCGACCACATCACACTCAGCACACGAGGGACACAAACACACGGGACACCCCCGCACGGGGAGACGATGGAGCTTAACACTATTACGAGGGAACAGCACGCAGAGCCCCGAGAAAGGCCCAGCCCTGTGGAAGCTGCAAAGAGAGGCTTTGAGGCTCACCGCTGCCGTCGAAGGGTCACAGATGCATCCGTGGTGCGTGCCGATCGGGGAGGGGGGACGACGACAACGCACGCGACGTGAGGAACGGACAAGGTCAGTTAATGGTTATGGCAACAGGAGCGAAGGCTTATTTTCCACCCAATAAAACTGCCCTCGCAGTACGCTCAGACGGTCGGCCTGGCTTCTCTGGGAAAGTGCCCTGTTCAGACTTTTAGTGTTAAGCTGCATCGGCAAGGGGAGCGGGAGCAAGATAAGGACGGAACACGTGCCCCTATCCTTGTGTGAAACGTGGGTCTTGCCACTGGCCACAATCTTCACGAGCAACGAGGGAAAACGTAATCCCATTTCATGACATTTAAAGTGGAGACAGCCAAACATTTAAAGGAGCGTAGATCTATTAAAGGGAGCATTCCGTCTGCCGGTGCAGCTCTCACTCTTTGAGTCCAATGTCAAAAATCAAACGCTGCACGCGAGACGAGGAGTTGGTCGGACCACCTACCAGCGTTGGAACGTGCCACGCCGAGGGCAGGCAGCGGCCTCCACGCTGCGCCGTCAAACACTTCGGCAGAGGCGAGCTCCTTGGTGCCGTCGCTGCCGCCGATGACGTAGACGTGGCCATGCAGCACTGTGACGTCCACTCGTCCCCTCGGGGTCCCCATGGAGACGAGGGGGCTCCAGCGGTTGGTGCCCAGATCGTACGATTCCACAGTGCGCAGGCACTCCCCACGGTCGTAGCCACCTGCGCATGAGAGCAAACCCCGTCCCGTCCCTAGCTCAAAAACAATCCTCACCGACTGGTGCAGGTTCGAGCCTGCTTCGTAACTCAAGAGGCTGCCAATATACAGGGCATCCACAATGAATCCTAGCACCGTAAAACAAGTCAGAAAAATCGGCGCCTGCGTAAAAACTTTATTAAACTTTCACGAAAGCTGCAATTTTACCAGGCGAAATTTCGAGATGTAGCCCCTTTCCTGCGAAAAATGAAACCAATGAACTCGCCAGGGTCAATGGTGGGGACACAGCAATTGCAAACAACAGAGTGAGTTATCTGCTCGCTACGCCTGTCAGGAGATGGCGTCACAAGTTGCAACCATCGCTAACTCGGTCGTCTGTGAACAGATCTGCCTTTAATCTTGACAAGCTCGTTGGTCTCATTTTTTACAGGAAGGGAGCTGTGCCTTGAAATTTTGCTAAGTAAAATGCACCACCTAAATGCATATTTGGTGGAAGTTTCAACTTCTTTCAGCTCGTTTTATGGTGCTAGGAGCCGTCGTGGGCACCCATACGCAGTAAGAACCACGACAGAACGTACAACAAAGTAGCAGATCATGTTAGAACGCAACATGCGTCATCCCCGCAGGGTCCAACGGTGGAAATATTTAATAAATTATCTATCATTACATACTGCGAATGAGCGGGGATCGACGCGGAAGCTACAGAAGACCCACCGCAGACGAGCAGCTTTCCCTGGAACTCCACGGTGCCCATTCCGCAGCGGGAGCTCATCATGGGCGGGAGGGTGGTGTAGCCCACGCCGCCTCCGCACACTTCGGGAGAGCTGTCGCCCGTGGTGGTAGCGCCGTTGAAGTTGAGCCGCTGCACCACGGACAGCACAATCATGCTGCCGGAGACCACTGCCAGGCCCATGGTGCTGTGTGCTGCGTACAGGACAGTGTTGCACCGTCAGCCAAGAGCTCTGAGCGAGCCAGAATCACTCATAACCAGTGGTGTAGGCAGAGAGAAGCTTTTGGGTCCCAACCCTCCTTCTCCCTCTCCTTCAAACGCCACCCCCTACAGAGGAACAAAAAAAGAAAAAACTGTCAGCCTTTTCACTCTGGTGAAGAAGGAAGACCAGCGAAGCTATACTATGGTGGGAATGAAGTATTTATAAATGTAAAGATTAAGGTGCGATTGGGTAATTGGTTATTTGAACGATTAAAGAATCGGACATATATATAATGATCCGGGGTTGTTATTTATTTCGTAACCACGGTGACCATGGACTTGTGATCGCTGTGGTACACCGCCATAGGGTGTACGCTGACGGCAGGCATGTTCTTCATGAAGACGAGGTCTATACATGTCCGATGCCTGGCAATGGGCACCGTAAATTCGTTCACACACACAAACCCGAAGCTCTCGAGCATAAATGAAGTGAATGACTTTCCCTCCTGGCGTGCTATGTCGACGTTAAATTCACCCATCACTACGGCAGACGTGTCGTTGCCGAGCATTACCCAGCCGAAGAAGTTCATCATGAATGCTTCAATGTCTCTCTTGGGCGTCGCGGGGAGGACGTACACGATGGCAACCATTGGACCATCGCGCACCTTGATGGAAAGATTGCCACCATCTATGAGCGATAGAAGCAACCAGACTGGTTGTATGGTTGACGCCGTCCCTCATAGATGGCGGTAGCTGTCCAGAGCTTTTGTGTAGTTTTGTGTCGACATTTGTTTGGTACCGGACATAAAACTGGGGAAACTAGCCCATAGCAGCTACGCTGTAAAATCAATTCCTGGTCACACCGAAATAACTCACTTAGGAGTGGCAATCACAAAAAATAAACATGCTTTTCTTGAAAACGCCTACAATGCTGGGAATAACAGTAACACCTTTACAACACTAACGCCGTACATGTCCAACATTAGAGCTTTAGATTCCAGACACTCTGCCGACTCCGATGTTGCATCAGCATTGTGGGAGGGTAGACCACAGACGAGTGGTATGAATTGCTGCTGTTTTTTCAGCCCCTGCACTACAGTAAAAGCTCATTAATTCGAACTGTACGACTTGGTCTGGCCAAGCTCCGTAGATGTCCATGTATAAAAAAACCCGTTAATTCGAATGCGAGTGGGTTCCGCCACGGATAATTCGAACTGCGCGCCATTGCGCCAACGGCTTTGCGCCTGGCACACGGCTAGAGAAACGCACCCGCTGCCTACACACGAGGCTCTGTCGCCTCCGAAACGGAGAGAATGGCGAGAGAAGGCAAAATTGGGAAAAATCTAACCAGCACGGAGGCGGTCAGAAGGCAGTGACGGCTAGCTTCTGTCCGTTCTACATGCACGTGACCTCCGAGATTCCTTGCCTGCGCCGATCTCGGAAGCTTTGAAAATCTCCAATGCGCACACACAATTGGCCCTCTCCTCTCCTCTCCTCCTCCCTCTCTCCCTCCCTCCCCCTTCTTTTACAACGCCTACACACACACATCTGTCTCGGAAGTCTCCGTCGGGGGTGCTCGTTTGTTTTCAGCTTTGAAGGTACCGGCCATCGCGATTCTTTGTGGTGTTGTTAAGCCTTGGCTGAAGTTTGTTTCGGCGGACATCAGTGGTGTGGCGCCGGACCCAGAGCTGCGACTTGAAGATGGCATGTGCCTGAGGCAAATACCGTGCCAAAACACTGCAAGAGAAGAGTGACATCACGCGGGAAATGGACGCCGGACTCTTGTCGAAGCAAGAAATTGTGAAGAAGCGTGCGATACCGAAAAGCACGCTATCTACTTTCATAAAGAATAAGAGGGCTATTAAAATGCCTTGGCAGCAGAGGTTGCCAATGAAAGGAAGAGGATGCGGCCTGCAAAATATTCCGACCTCAAGACAGTGCTTCTGCTTTGGATTAAAGGGGCCCTGCAATCATATTTAAGCAACTACTTTTTTGCGCTTTCCACGTCTCTTGGGGTTCGGGCAAGCCAGCAGGCATGGAGAGAGTAACTAGATATCACTGCATCATATTTATACCTCCTCCACCGACGGGGGCGACCCGCGGTACCAAAAACCCACGAAATGTGATGTTTTTGGTCCTGTGCTTACTACTGGTCAGAGCCGCTAAAAGCTTCTTTTTAGTCAAAATACAACATAGAAGTGGCGCGAACCGTTTTCAATTATTTATAAAAGTAGTTTTTGTTCAGTATTTTAGATCAGAAAACAAACAAATGCAGTTTATAAAGTACGGAAACAAGAAAGGACTTGTCGACATACCCACCACCAAGCGGCGGAAAAGACGGCGCATACTAGAAAGGAGTAGTGGGATCAGGTGCCGACACGGAAAGGTCACGGATGTATGCGGCGGCGCTGCGGTCGTTTACGGACTGGAGGATCCGACCGGCTACGAGCGTTCCGAAAGCCTTCACCGAGCAGCTTTGTCTTGCGGTTTGGCCGTTTCGCGGTATGGCAGTGCGAAGTGGCTCCCATTCTGAACTGATCTTTACCCCGCGTTTGCTGTTGTTTGTGGCCAATGAAGTGCATGCCGAATTAGTGTTTAATCACACAGCAAATGGAATGAGAGCCGGTCTGGCTGCCCGCTGTATACAACCTATCCAGAACATGCTTTAGTGGCACCCTCTCGCGCCATCGACACGGAGTGCGGCAGCCGTGAGCGCTCGCTGAGCTCACTATCCCTCCTCTAGTTCACGGCCACTTAAGCAACCAAAGACGTCATGAGGGAGGTTATTTTTTGCATGTTTTTGTAATTTTAATTTGCCTATAACTTTTAAAATAAAGTGAAATTCGAGAAAAGAAAAGTTTAATTAAGTTATTACGGTCAGTGCGCTCAGGTTCGGTGCAAATTAAAAGCCAGTAAAAAAGTGCTGGCAGGGCCCCTTTAAGGACACGCGTGCACAGGATATGCCACTGAGCAGCCCTGTCATACTGGCGAGGCAGCCGACTTCGCCTTGCAGCTGGGTTACGACTTTGCTGCTTCAGATGGGTGGGTGCACTGATTCCGCGAGCGTCACGACTTTGTTTTCCGTGGAGTGTCGGGAGATGGAAAGGCCATTACTTCACTTTCGTTTGTTCGAACTTTCGTCAATTTGAACTGAGGTGGCGCCCCCTTGACGGTTCGAATTAACGAGCTTTTGCTGTACCACAATGGCTCTGGTTGATCTCTAGGCTCCTTGGGAATCTGTAAAATTTATGACTACGAGCAGGCAGCTCTAAAAAAAAAAAAAAAAGAAAATGAAAGACGTTTACAATTCTCTGTAATGCAGAATTAGAGCACAGTACTTGAGGAGGAGGAGGAGGAGGAGGAGGGGAGGGTGCAAAAGGGAGGGTATGCCTCTCCTCCTCTGCTCCCCACCCATTTAGCAGGAAATTTTCACTCAATTTCCTGCTAAATTTAGCGAAAATTTCCCCCCTGAATTTAGGGGGGAAATTTGTCCATTAAAATTGGCAGGAAAATTTCCCGCTAAAGTTAGTGGTAACAATTCCCCACTGAACTTAGCGAGAAATTTTTCCCACTAAATTTAGTGGAAACATTTCTCCTGTAAATTTAGCAAAAACATTTTCCTGCTAGCTTTTGCTGGAAAACATTCCATAATGCACCATGCGCGGTTACGTTGACAACGATGGCGACGCCACTCAAACCGGAAACGGGCGCCGAAGGGCTACACTCTAAAAAAAAAGAGATCCTACTGTAGAGGGTGTCCCAAGTGGACCCTCCGCAGTAAAACGAGCCACAAAAATCGGCACCTGCACATAGAAAACAACTTTTGCCGAATGTGCACTGAGTTAGTCAGTTTTATCATGCGAAATTTCAAGGCACAGTTACAGACGACAGAGTTACCAACACTTTCAACTTGTGGTGCCACCTCCCGATAAGTGCAGACTGCATCGTCTGCTCACTGTGCCCGTCGGGAGGGGGCGCCACAAATTGATAGCGTCGGTAACTCGGCAGTTTGCGAACACACCCAACATTGACTTTGGCAAGTTGTTTGCTCTCATGTTTTTACATAAAGAGAACTTCATCTTGAAATTTCACACGGTAAGACTGACCTGCTTAGAGCACATATGGTGAAAGTTTGAGCCTTCCATGTGTAGGCACAGATTTTTCCGGCTCGTTTTACAATGGAGGGTTCGCCCGAGGACAGCCTCTATATCTGCTCATGTGGCGGATACAGGTGAATTTCGATTTAATGAAACCCAAATTTACGAATTTCCCGATTTAACGAACAAATTCGGATTCCCTGTGCAGCCTATGCACGAGGTCTCCCTTCCTCGACTTTATGAAGTTCCCGATTTAACGAAATAATTAGTGTGTCCCGGTGACTTCGTTAAATCGAGGTTCGACTGTATCCCTATAAAGAAACGAATGGATGCTCACAACTCTCAAGGAAAAGGCACAAAGTGTGCAGGTTGCAGTCAATGTGCTTGGCTAATACATAGCATCAGAAGGAATGTTGAATCGACGAGCATAATACCAGATGTGTGCACCCTCATTGCCTCTCAGAATGGGAACAACACCCACCTCCAGTAGAAGTGGTGGCAATAATCTTCCAGTCCCTGTCCTCCTCGTCGGAGGAAGAGGATCCGCTCGAATCTGAGCGGGTGTAGAGAAACTGGCGTGGCTTGGCCGGGTTGGACACCGTCACGCCGGCCCGCCCCTTTGTCTTGCTCTTGGATTTGCTCCCGTTGGGCTGGGAGAGCCTCCTGGACAACCGCTTATAGTCCTGGATCATTTCCGTATCCTTGGAATCCCCCGTCTCAATGTCGTTGCAGTCGTGCAGCGTCCTGTCCAGGTTCAGGTACAGCATGTGCACCTGCAGGGGGAGATATAACACAGACAGGGAATTTTCAGACTCTGATCCCGAGAGATGTCTCTTGACTGAAAGCTGAGGACCTTGTGTGCAATCATGGGACATGTTTGGGACATAGTTGTGATTCCATGATTGGCACACGTCTGCTAAAATATACCGTGCTTAAACTGGAAGAACACTTCACTTAGGGGGCAGGGATGGCCAAGAAAATCTGGGGCTTTACGGAACCCCTTAGGGTACTAAGGAAGCCCTAGGTTCCTCGGAAGCCAGTTTGAGGGCCAGCAGAAAGAAGACTGGTAAGTGAAACCTTCTAGCAAAATGAAATTGGCAAATTGTCGTCTTCTTGGCTTCTGATAAGTGGCACTTCTGCAAAAGTGGTACAGTTTTTCTTGGATCCTTGAAATCTCAATTTGAGATATATACACCTTAGATGTGGATTCCAATAAGACTGGCACAATGAGGGAAGTGAAAGAAGCCACCTCATCATGTATCGATTGAAAAGTACCCGAGGGTTTGCATGCACCATTTCAGCAATATTCAGATGCCGGTTAATGATTTGTTGTACCTAACTAGCCTTGCCTCACGCCTTGCTATCTAGATTTGAGTTCATTGCATCTTGCTCAACAAAATAGACATGTCCATGTGTGCGGTTCTATTTTCCAATTCAAGTGAACAGTAGATTTGTCATGCCACAACTGAAATGCTGGCAGGCAACCTATGGGTCCATATTGCCACGCGCGTCGCCGAGCGAGCGCGTGCATGCGTGGCCGTATGATTACCACGCTGGACTGTCGTGCGGAAGGTCTAGGTTCGATTGCAGTCAGTGGAATGTTATTTTATTTATTCTTTCAACTTGGCATTCTCATAAGTTCGAGAACGTTCTCATCTAATTGAGTTCCGAATGCCCTATGCGCCGAAAGTTCTACGCCGAATGTTCCAGAAACCCACGCAGGTACATAAGGGACTCCAGATGTCAAGCAGAGTCAGTCTTGCCCCAGCACTCAATCCTGCTGTTTTGCCGGATTCGACGCCCGCGACGCTAGCCTTTCTCCATTTTTTTGGCCACAAGTTGGCTCCATTAAACATTTTGTTTCTTCAGTTATTCACTGCCTCATCATTTGTCATTCGTGACAATATAATTTATATGACTTCTGGCACTACACAATACCACTGACATGCAGTGCATGTGGTATATAAAAACTGCACCAAAAACACTCTTGATGTATGTCGTACAGTGTACCACATTAGCAGCAAACCATTAGTACCACATGCACCAGGCTTCTGGTACATAAACTGTATGTGTGACATCAATCGCAGGTCATTGGTGCTTCTTTGAATTTTACTTCAAAATTATATTGGCAAATGCAAAGTTTTGCTGCTCAAGTTAGTTAACCATCGTGAAACGGGCCTTGGATATCCCCTAGTGCCACGTGACGGTGTACCTTTTCGGTGAGGGTCTCCATGAGCACCCCCTCCTGGTCAAAGGAGGCGCGCATCCAGTCGAGCACCATGTGGCATAGGTGCTTGTTGTTGGTGGCGTCCATCTCGAGGTTGCTGTGCTGCACCAGCTCCACCTGGATGTGGGGCAGCGACTGCAGCTCCTTGCTCTTGAGAACCTCTGCTATGTTGTCCCGCACATAGGCGTCCACTTCTGCTACCAGCTCCTGGTCCATTGACTCCACCAGGATGGCCCGCACCCCTGCCATGGGTAGGAGAGACTATGAGCCCTTGACACGGGTGGATGGTATGGACAGATCAAGTGGATGATATGGGCAGAAGGTACAGGTGGAAGGTACAGCTAGAAGGTACAGAAGGGATGTCAAGTAGGAGATGCGGGTGGAAGATATGGAAGGAACATACGAGGCAAAGATACGGGAGAAGGCATGGACTAAGACAAACGGAAGACGGGGAAAACACACGGGTGGAACTGATAGGCAAAGGTACTGACAGAGGATACTGGGAGAGGATGCTGGCAGAGGAAATGAGTGAAGAATACTAAAAGATACAGGAGGAAGCAGTGGCATAGCCAGAAATATTTTGTGGGGGAGGGGGTTGAGGTGGCTTGGATGTCCATACTTGGGGTGCGGAGGGAGGCTGCTGAAGCCCCATAAGCACCCTTCCTGGCTTTGCCACTGGGAGGAAGGTATGGGGACAAGATATGGGAGAAAAGTATAGGCAGAATATAAGAGAGGAAGGTATGGAAGGAAGGTTTGGAAGGAAGAGATTGGAGGGTGGATGATGCTCCCACAGAGTGGTGGATGCCTTGCTGTTGCTCTCCAGCTCACAAGTTGTGTGTGGCACAAGCAATGTATCGGGGGCAAGAGCAAAACCATTGTTAACAGTTTTGTTTGCACAAGCCCATCCTAAAGCCATGTGCTAACGGCCATACCTCACTTAAGTGCACAGAACTCTTGAGAGGGATTATATGTTTAAAGGCTATGTCAAACCCTGCACTTTTGGAGCTGGAGAGCACAATGCACTAAGGCCAAAATCCAAGCTACAGAAACCTCTGAAAGGCATGCATACTGCCAATTAGCATCTTGGACTTTCTCTGGCTTCTTTACACAGAGTGCTCTAGCACTTCTGACACAAGCCTTGCAGCTTCAATGATGGCACAGCAATGCACAAACTGATATCCTGGACATGAAGCTGAAATATATTTGAAGGCTGCAGACTCACACTGAAGCAGGGTTTACAAAAGAAACAATCTGCAACATCTAATATACTTACTGCAACTGTAAAATTCTGGACAAGTTTTCACCACAAATCATGAGATAATTATGTCAAAATTTGGGAGTGAATGCTCGCTCGAGTGAAACTTTCGTTTAGTGTACTTTAAAACTTTTAGATTTTGAAACTTACTAAGACTAGAGCACTTGCAGTGGTATGGATGCATATTTTCTACCTTGTTGATAGCCAATTTTCTAGAAAAGTGAGAATAAAGTTAACATGCAATGAGCGCAATGTTTTATGTTCTGTAAGATCTGGTAGAATAGGTCACTGTTATGCTTGAAGCACCATAATAATAACATATTCGGAACGGGAGTTGCAACCATGATGATGAAACTAGGTACTCACAACAATGATAATAGATATACTAACCGGTGCAGTTGTCAGGGGTCAAGTGTTCTACAAGGTATTTCCCACAGTACTTTGTCACAGGCTGAACCCGCAACTTGGCAGCCACGAGGTACATCGCCTTCATCTTCGGCTTGGGGACCTCCAACCTGCACCGCAAGAGGCCACTTCAATGAAGCCAATGGAACAGTCAAGCGTATGAGCACTGCTTGCACACTGGCATCCTCCATGTAAAATCCCACGACACAGCTACCAAGGACTCTGCAAGTTCCTTTTGAAAGAAGCCATGGCCTCGCACCACACAATACACAATTTGACAAAAAAGCAAGCCTCTCTACTGTTCATTAAAATAACTTCCAAGTTCAGAGCCTCTTTATGTGACATGGGCATATGTCACAGCTAAACAGCTAAACTTTTTCAGCACTAGGCATGTTTTACACATGCATTTCCTGCTTAAAAATAGTCCTTGAAATCATTAGACATTTAATATTTCAATAAAGGGAATGGAAAAAGTACCATAAAGAATGCGTAGAGAAGATATAAGCCATCTTTGAAAGCCTTTTTTTTTTTTTGCCGCACTTGGTTGTTACCAACATTTTCTTAGAAGGGCACTGACAATTGTAATTCCAGATTCTAACCATCTGATGTGACTGCTACACGTCAGCCACCACACATTTAAATGCTGTTCACCTTGAGGTGTAAGCATAGTCGACGAGGCGTTCAAAGGCGCTGATGTCGAAGTTGCCGTTGATCTTGCACTGGTTCTGCATGGTGCCCTTGGTCTTCTGGGCCAGCAGTTCAAACAGGTATGGGCTCACGCTCGCCACCACCGCACGGTGCGCATAGATCTCATGCATGTCCTGGCCGGAACCAACCTGCAAGATGTGCAACAACATTGATAGACTCGCTCCCATTCACTGCCCCAACTGCCTCCAGAGGCATGTGGTCAAGACGCATCTCGAGCTCCAATGCTGCTGCCAAGGTGGGTCCTAGGTGGAACATACCAACCCCCAAGTGAAAGTTGAACACAACTGACATTGCACAAACAAAGGAAAACCTCACAAAACATAGCCAAAAGCTTACTGTTGGAAACACCTTAGGTTAGCTTTCCAGCTAACTTTGGAAACTGGATGGACAACCATGTTGATTTTTAAACTAATGATCACAACTGCCTGTCCAGGGCCGTCAAACAGGGGTGGGGGTGACCACTCCACGAGACATTTAGATTTCTAGTAAACAATAAGGGTGGAGGGGGCATCCCCTCTCTCCTTCCCACCTTTGTGCCCCCCATGCCCCCCTTCCTTCCCCCATCTTTCAAACATTTCCAATGGCACTGTGTCTATCCTCTTGTGAATGCTTAGATACTCATAACATAAATCAGTTATATATTTAATAAAATGGCATGACAATGCAGAAGATGGAAGCAGCATTTGATCCTTTTGTAGCAGGTTTTGGAGCATTCAAAACATTGGTTTGGAGCAGCCACTGACGCTTTTGGAGCAGATGCTAACATCTGAGAGTGCATCGCTTAAAAATGACAAAAAACAAAAAACAAAAAAAAAAAGTGATTGCATTTTTAAATGAGTTTGTCTGCGGTAATGATTGACATTTCTACTTCGATACTAGAGCATATTACTTATAACATTTTGTGATAAAAAAGATAGGATGCAAAAGGAACATACAGCCTTCTTTTTTTAAACAAGGCTCTGGTCAGAGTGGGGTCCATTTAAAGCGGGCACTAAATATAGCCGAAAAAGAAATCGTAGCCCAACCCTTCAGTTGCGATAAAGTCTCCCTCCCATCCTCGTTTTACACTCAGTAGTTTAATTGGCCCGAAAATATATTTTCTGAAAAATGCCAGCAAAAACCAGCATATCTGCAACACCAATAAAAACGCGTCCCCCAAGTTTTATTAACCTGCCACACTCGAGACTCTATTATCATAAACTACAAAAACAACCGCTTACAAATATTTCGAAAGCCTACACTTGTGCTTTAAATATGACACTGCTTTTCAGCGGCGTTAGAACCAGAGTTAAATCAAAGTTCCCTGCTCGTTCATTCGACAGCTGCACAAGAACTACCGTAATTATCCAAAAATAGAGACACCCAATTTCTTTTGGCTGTTTCCATTTTTAATAATATTCATAGAGATTAATCTGCAATGAAGACAAAGAAGGTCGATCTGTAATAATCCTAGCATAAATTCCGTGCCATTTATCGCGCCAACCCTCCAACAGGTCAGCCGCTGCTCCTAGCACTCCGGTGCAAAGCAGTGAAGCCCGATGCATGCACGCCGATCTGTGGCCAGGTGTGGTAAAAGTTGACGCGAGCGGCGCAAGTGCCACGGTACTCTGCAGCCATGGTACGAAGGCGTGTGGCAGACACGATAATCGAGTGATTTCACCAGGAGTACAAGATCCCGGTTCTGAGTGATTTCACCAGGAGTACAAGATCCCGGTTCTGTCTTATCGCAGTATATCACCATCCTACTATTTCGCAGGGTTTTCTCCAGACTTTTGCTTCCTGACATCGCAGACATTGTCTGGTAATCTAGACGATGTCGGCAATCAACAGGCTAGCGCATCACCCGGCCAGAGTGATTGATGAGCAATCCCTATACTTTGTTTCACCTGAAGTCGACACTACAGACGATTCTACGAGCCAATGGGACCAATCAAACAACATAAAAGCGCGACATCTGGGCATTCATCTCCCTGTGCGTGTTTTTTTCAAAGGCTAAATTAATCGGGTGCAATGAATGTCCTGTGACTCGCACTGTTAGTATGCGTGTTCGAGGTTGTATGTGTTGAGCTTTCGACTGTGCTCAGACTCGAGATGTAACAAATTATAATGCAAGTGAAAAAGCCGTGAAATATATTCATACCATTTTTCTTTCCTTCTACTTTTCTAAATATTAGGGCCGACCAATATTTTTATATTTTGCTTTAAGCTCATCCTGGTGCAGGTATGGCGCAATTCTGAGCGAAACTGGCACTTTGGAGCGAGATGTAGCAGACTTTCGTTCATGGTGCGATTTGGCGCAAATGGCACAGCACTTCCATCACTGCAGTCAGCTTCTTGATAAGAGTGTAAATGGTGGTTGGTGCTCGTAAACCTTCCCAATAAATTTAATCTTTCTCCCACGATGACTGCAATTAGAATGAGAGTTTCTGGGCAATTTCTATTGAGCAGGACTGTCAGAAAACATGTGAAACAAACGCAAACAAAGGGTGGCAAAAGATGCCATACTCACATGCAGAACAACGTCACAAAATTGCTTGTTCTTGCGCAGCTTGTTCAAGTTCATGAGCACCTTGTTGAGGTGGGCGGAGTCATCAAAGACGAGCAGTTCAGCGGGTTTCGCCGGTTTGGACTCCTCCTCGTCCGTCGTGCTGATGACCAGAGTCGGGTCCATGGCTGAAGTAAGGGCCGTTGCAACGAGGGCACAACCACTACTAAGAGATGCCGCAGTCAGAGGCTGAAGACCACAGTCCTGCACAAAAGACAGCAAAACCAGTGGTCAGTACCAGCCAGTCAATTTTCCCAGATAAAACAAACATAAAAGCATTTCATAGTCAGTCAATCTGACCAGATAAAACAAACACAAGAGAACTGCATAGCCAATAAATTTAAATAAAACACATAAAAGCATTTCAGAGCCAATCTTTCATCACAATGTAACTCCCTTTTAAGAGACCCAAATTCTATTTAGGCCTCATTTCCACTTTCCAAGGTCGAAAGGAGACTGCACAACTTGACAACCTATAAAATATTTTTTGCATGCACTTTAATTAGTTTCTTGTATATTTTAAAAACAATTACAACTATGTACCAACAAAAAATATGTTTAACCAAATGGTTTCGGTTAGGAATGAGCAGTGCTTCTCTTTCGGTCTGTCTTGATATTTTGAATAGTTTGAAATTTGAACGGCTGATGTGGGGACAAGGATTTTTAGGTGAATGGAATATCACTGCAGAATATTCCAATGCTAGTTTCAAAAGGTTTAGTTAGTACTACCATTTAGGCCATTGGCTCTTGGTGGACACTTTAAAAATAGTTTTATCATACACACAGGGTCAAAAGCAATGCCATTAAAAATATTAGCTATTATTTCTACCCACACAAAACATTTTAACTAACACATAAAAGAAATGCACAAAGATTACAAGCTTTTATAGATACACCCTAGCAACACACTAAACAAATCCTATCATATCTAAAAACAGCCTCTGGTCTTCTTCATCAACAAAAAAACATACAGCCTGCACTAAGTCATCAAGTACCTGAGGGTCAATGGACTGTGTTCTACATCAATACACCAGTTGTCCAAACATGATAAGATATTGAAACCCAGCAGCAAACAGTTCAAAGTTCCAAAGAGCCAGAAAAGGTGAGCACAACAATGTATGCATACAATCCAGCATACAGTCCATACAATGCGGAAGCTAGAGTATTGTTGAAGTCAATGATCTGAAATGGAGGACATATATTCTGCCCACTGGAGTGACTTCAAAAAGTTACAAAATAAAATAAATATAAAGGAATTCATGAGTATGAAAAGTAGACAGTCAGAATTTAGAGACAATTTGGAGAACATGCATTTACCTGGAAACACTATACTTAATCATCCCTTTTTACCGCCATATACCCCACATGTAGCATTCCATGTTTGACGAGATTATTTTTCGTGAAATTAGGAGCGTGTTTTTTGGAGTTCATTTTTTGCTAGAAATTCAGAGTTTATTTTTGTTAGATTCCCAATCCTCCGAAACCAAGAGTTTAATTTTACTCTGTCCTTACTTTTTTTTTTAATAAAAATAAATTCTGTTTAGACAAAAAAGCGCAATAAATTCTCGAATATTTTTTTTTTTTTTTTTTTTTTTAAATCATTGGTATTGAAAGGTATTCTTGCAGCTGCACTGGGATTGGCACCCTTGCAATTGGTGGTACTAAAGGCCCGTTCACACTCTTGCAACCGAGTACAACCGAGAGAGACAAGACCGGTTTTTAAGCCTCTTCGACGTCTCAGAACCAGCTTCCCAGCAGCGCATCCCGTCCTAAGAAGTCGCAAAAGGCTTAAAAACCAGTCTGGTCTCTCTCGGTCTTACTCGGTTGCATATGTCTGAGCGGCGCTTAACTGTACAGTCCCACGACAAATCATGAAAACAAGTGCTATTCAATAAACGTCTGTATTTTGAAATAGCCAGACTCCTGATCCCATCCTAGAAAATATACAAGTTCACATCTTTCACCATTATAAAAACACAACCTCTCCTCCTTCTAACAAGCATGATTAGTAGGTTCAAGCGAGGAAACAGTAATCGTGGCTGTTTTTGTGGTCCAGAAGTACATCGGCCCATTGTGCTGAACAGAAGTACATCGGCCCATTGTGCTGCACAAGGCCTTTTGTTGAACAAACGGGAAACTCCCTTTTGTCAATAATCCAAGATTTAACAAAAACAAAAAAAGTATATTTTTCTTTTTTTTTTTAAAGACCACTAAAACTGTGCTCACAAACTTTATTCGCAAAATACTGGCTTTTTATTTTGCCATCGTGGCCTTGAAATTTGGAGTTGTTCAAATAAATCAGAATTGACGAAAATTGTACCAGCGAGTGTTTTTCGGAGTTTATCAGATTTATCCGAAAAAAATTAAAGGGGCCCTGCAAGCACTTTTTTACTAATTTTTAATTTGCACCAAAAATGAGTGCACTGAACGTACTAACTTAGTGTAACTTTTATTTTCTTGAAATTCGCTTTATTTTAAAAGTTGTAGGCAAATCAAAATTACAAAAACAAGCAAAAAACCTCCCTCATGACGTCCTTGGTTGCTTGAGCGGCCGTGAACTAGAGGGGGGTAGTGAGCTCATCGCGAGCACTCACGGCTGCCGCATTCCGTGTCGACGGCGCGAGAGGGCGCCACTAAAGCATGTTCTGGATAGGGAGGCTCAAGTGAGGGTGGGTGCAACTGCTAGATCGGCGATCACGGGACATGGACGCCATTTAATTGCTAAATTTTGCTGGGAGCCTATGGGGCAAAGGGTCGTTTTCTTTCCTAACTCGGGTCATAAAAGCCCATTAAGGTGCTAGAATAATTTACACAAGGTATAAATGATTACTTTTCCATAGCCACCAGTTTTGTTCCGATAGGTTAAGTATTTTTTTAACGCGAAAAATGGTAAATTCCGCCATCTTGGACGTTGCTGCTTGTCTGGCAACTTTGCTTTCTCCGCTCGACGTTTGCAATTCTCGGAGCGAGAAGGAAGCGAGAAAGGCTGCGCCAAGGAGCTCGTTGCTTGCAATGGGAGGCGAGAGGAGGAAAGGCGCATGGAGCAACAGAGTTGCAACAGAGCGGGCGCCTGCTCTCGTGCAGGCAACACTGGCGCATATCCTTTCTCGTATCCTCTCCCTCAGGCGCCGCTATTAAATTGCAAACGCTCTCCAGGTTTTGAATTGCGGCTACCCTCACTACAGCCTCCCTAGTTCTGGTCAGGCTGTATGCAGCGGGCAGCCAGAGCGGCTCTCATTGCCTTTGCTGCGTGATTAAACACTAATTCGGCATGACACTTCATTGGCCACAAACGACAGCAAGCACGGGGTAAAGATCAGTTTAGAGTGGGAGCCACTCCGCGCTGCCATACCGCGAAACGGCCAAACCGCAAGACAAAGCATCTCGCCGACGGCCTTCGGAAGGCTCGGAGCCGGTCGGATCCTCCTGCCCATACGACCGCAGCGCTGCCGCGTACATCCGGGACCTTTCCGTGTCGGCGCCTGATCCCACTACGTCTTTCTAGTATGCGCCGCCTTTTCCACCGCTTGGTGGCGGGTATGTCGACGGGTCATTTCTTGTTTCCGTACTTTATAAACTGCATTTGTTTCTTTTCTCATCTAAAATAGTGAACAAAAACTACTTTTATAAGTAATTGAAACGGTTCGCGACACTCATATTTTGTATTTCGACTAAAAAGAAGCTTTTAGCTGCTCTGACCAGTAGTAAGCCCAGGACCAAAGACGTCACATTTTGCGCGCTTTCGGTACCGCGGGTCGCCCTCGTTGGTGGAGGAGGTTTCCGCGTCGTCCGGTTAAAATATGACGCACTGATATTTAGTTACACTCTCCGTGCCCGCTGGCTTGCCCGAACTTCAAGAGACGTGGAAACCGCAAAAAAGGTAGACGCTTAAATATGATTGCAGGGCCCCTTTAAGGAACCCTGCAGAGTTTGAATATACACCAATATTCAAACTCCGAGACTGTTCTTGAAATGCATTCGCTGACCGGTCCGGCACCAATCCTGCACCTCTAACAGGTCATGGGCCTCCTCCCGTGACCACTGATGTTCAAGGTCACACGACTCTGCAGCGGACAGTGTCGGCTCCAACAACCAACCATTTCTTTTTCTCTTAATATTATATACTATAAACATTTTTTAAAATATATTAACTTTTTTTTTCTACGAAATTTTTCGTATTTCTTTTTATATGAGAGCGCACCGCGTATGGCTGGATCTGACCTTGAACACCCTGAACCGCTTTCCACAGCTACGGCCTTCTCCATTCGCGCCGCTTTCCTTGAACCTTAGCAGAGGCTACGAGCTATCCAAGCCAATCCAATAGCGTGCGGGTGAACATGTGACCTTGGCCAGACTGCCAGCGACGCGCGAGAACCAGTCACGTGATGTGCCCACAGTCCTGAATTGGCTTGGATGGCTCATAGCCTCCGCAGTGGTCCATCCTAAGGTAAAGGTGAAGAAGAAAGTAAGATCGACCATCCCAAAGTCGAAAGGGATAAAAGTAGCGGTAACGATTCGTTTCGGATCGCGTGCGGGGCGGCCCGAAAGATGGTGGCCGGCCCTCCCGCCGATCCGACCGTTGTTTACGCCGCCAAGTCCTTGTCGCCCCCACACCGGCGGCGGCCGAGAGAGGATTCCCGATCGATGCAGTCACCCCGAGGTCGCCGCCTCGTCGCGGGGGAAACGTGCGCCCACCGCCAGATCGAAATCAGCCCGGCTGCCGCTGACTGCTGCCGGGGCGCTCGAGAGCACAATCGGAGAAACGAATCTCCAGTAGATTGGATAAGGACGGAGAAGCGGGACAATAAAAGGGGAACGAGGCTTTGGACTGCCTTCGTCACCATCCGCGGCATACGGACGTAGTTCGTCTCGCGTTTCTTTCACCGCTAGCTTCCGCTGATAACGGAGTGCTTGTTGTTTGGCTCGGATTGTTCCACGTGCGCACATTTAAACCCCAGTCAGGGAAAGAAAGAAAAAACAACAACAACAAGAAAGGCCGCTTTCCTAAAATAGCGACAGGAAGAATACATACGTAGAATACATGTGCCTCAGTAACGTGCACACAAAACGCTAGTCGTACACTACAAATTCCAGCGAGTCCACTTTCTCGCATTGTTGCGAAATAAGCGATGACGATGAACCCGCGCAGGCGTGCTTCGACCATTCGAACCTGACAAGTTTTGAGTCTCTTGCTCTGCAACGTT